CTCGTTGTTCTTGGGGCCTCCCAGGTCCTGCCCGCGTCGCTGTACCACCGTCTTCGGCAAGGCGGTGCGACTTGTTTTCAGAGCTGACTGCGGCGTTTGTGGCCGAAGTTCGGCTTTTCGACACTCCCGGAATCTCCCGGACACTCCCTGAGTTCAACTGGATTTTTTTTCGTAGTTGCTGGGAGACCATAATTACAGTGACAAGCAGAAAGTTTGGCCTGTCTTTGGCTGCTGACAGGGTAAACTGCTGGACATGTGGGGAAAACACCAATTCCGGCACCCCTTTCCCTTTTGCATCGCTAGGGTTGGTGAGCCCGAAGAAAACGGGTCTTTGTGTATGGGCAACAATCCCTTTGCTCTGGACTTCTTTCACCCCCCCCGACTTTAATTGCCGGACAGCCTCTGTATCTCTGGCGGGTTTGGCCACGGGAATTTCCGTGGCCACGCCGGAGGCTCACAGGGATTTTCCAGCCCCCCAGCTGAGTTGGCAGTTCCCAGCCGTCCAGTTCCTTAGGTTCTTACATGTTGGTTGGTTTAGTGGTTGGGGTTCCCTTTAACCCACGAAAAGTTCAACTTTTTAGCGGGGGATGTTCAGGACATCCCAGCGAAGTTTGCCTATCAACTGTTCGCCTGCATCGAATTCCCAAACAATTCCGGAAGCCCTGGTTCACCTAAACATTTGCTCACATTTCCCTCCTATGATCATGGCTGAATGTTCTGTTTTGTAGGCTGTGAACCCACATTCTTCGGAGTGCAAACAGAGTGACCTCAAACGTGGTGGGTTGTCCTTTCGGTGTCCCTTCAATCCAACCTAAAAAGGGTACCAACTCAACCCAAGTCACAAGATCCCCCGGCAACCATATGCAGTATATATACAGACATACCCGGACTTTCAGAAGGCATTTCCAGATGTGGTCCGTATATATATATATATATATATGTATGTATACACCCCTTCTGCGAGTGGTATAACACCCCCACACCTCCAAAACCCATCCCTGGAAAGACCCTCGCTGCCAGCCTCGCTGGTTCTGCACCTGGACGTCCCCTTTCCGCTGCGCGCCAACCGGTCCCTGGCGCTCTACGGCGCTTTCGGTGCAGAGGCGGAACCAGTCGGTGTGCCCGTTAAAGGGAAACGCCTCAAAAGCTGCTCACCAGAAAATTCACCTGGAGCCTCCAACAGAGTGTCCCCGTTTTTTTAGGGTCCCCCCCAAAAAATGGTGTTCTTTTTTGGTTTGCCGTTACAACCAAGCAAGAAGGTACGCTCAAAACAAACACACCCAAAAGGGCCCGACCAAAAGAGGACTTCCTCTGTCAATTGCCGCGGTCTCCTCCAAAACTATTTTAAATTGCAGGCTCGGCAAAATAGGAAACATAATCGGAAATCGGGACATACAATTGCAGCCTCAGCGTTGGGCAACGTTTTTTGAAGGGATCATTGTATTATATCCTGCCTCGGTGATTCGAGCATCACTCAGCCACAATGAAGGGATTGATTTTGGGGTGACATATCATTCGAGCACAGAGTATTAATTAGTACACAGACACATTGCAGTTTCTTTGCATGGATCCTCAGCTGAGTAGTGAGTGGGGGCGGGTTTCCCAAAGGGCCACCTCACACGAATTTCGGAGTGGAAGCAAGGCGGGGGGGGGGGGGGGGGCAGATTTGTTTTTGTCAGGAGTGGGAATAGGACACCTGGTGGCCATATAGAGGCTGTCCCGTGAAATGCGTGGGAGTCCTGGCTTGGGGGTCCCAGGAGAAAATTTGGTAACACCGATATAGACCAACTATGCAGTGGCTGCGGTCTACATCATCTCCTGCGACTTCCATGTGAGAGGTGGGAAACTTCCCCAGTTCGGAGTGGGATAGAACATGCTGGCCCAGGGTTGTGGGAGGCTGGGAATGAGTCATCTTCCAGTCCCAGAGGATTCTGTTTGCCTCGCCCCGCCAAAAAAGTCCCCCCCCCCCTTGAGATTAATTCACGTACCCCCAAAAACCGCCATTGGCAGAGGAAGCTCCTTATTGGGTTCCCAGCCCTCCCCACTTTGGAGCCAGGCGCTGTGTGAAGCCGTGGGGCAGCTCGGCAAAACTTAAAGCAAGAAAATGTTAACTTAATCCTAGGAGCGTCCCTCTGACTCGCATGGAATTCAACGGAAGATCCCTTTGAGAGGAACTTGTTTTCTAGAGGTGTTCATGACAGGTTGCGGGGTAGTTGATGCTAACTTCGGATTCATCCGGAGGGCATACTCATCAAACAAATCTCCCTCAACTCGGGCGAGCTTCCATTCAAAAGCGGTTCAACCCCGCGCTTAGTCCTTGAAGATGGCCCCTTCGAAAGGGGTTGCCGATTGGTATGGCCCGGTTTGATCCAAAGTTCACACCACCCAATATCTTTGTTGCATATTGCTTGGATGTAAGGGCTTTAACTGTTTGCCAACTAGTGGGTTTCCGTTAAACCACTAAAAAATAAATTTAGCAGGGGAGCAGAAAGCAACCGAGATATGGTGCCATGAAAGGGGCTTGTCGCCCCCCGACATTTCTCGGCGCTGCGCAATCCGTACTTCATTGAAATGTTTTACCCAGGCAGCCAAAAGGGGACGGATGCTCGCTCCCCGACCCTCCCCCCAGTTTCCTCTCTTTTGGGGAAATGAGCGGGGCGTACCTGTGCTTCTAATTCAGGGCGAGGACTTGAGACCTAGAGAAAAAACAGGGACACCCTATTTATTAACAGATCAAGAGGAACCCAAGCCCCCCAAAACGGTCTTCAGAGGGGACATGCCAAAGCCTCCCGGACCGATCCTCCGACTGGATTCCGGGCTTTCGCCTCAGCTTAGGAACTGTCACAGTTGGGGCAAGTTGTTTTCCTTTGTGTTTCTCCGTTTTTATTGGTCCTGTTGAAATTGTTGTTCGGTTAGGGAGCTGCAAACAAATCAGGCCACCTGTGTTTTTTTGCCAGGCCGTAGCGTTTGGGCTGAGGAACTTCCGGCACGTCATGGGCCTGCAGCACACCGAAGCCTTGCAAGCGCAGCTCCGCGCGGGCGAGCTGCGCCCGGTCTGCGAGGAGCCGAACCAGGGGGTTGAAGCGGAGCAGTGCGCCGTGCGCGCTTTGCTAAGTAGCCCCTTACCTCTTAAAACAGTTTACAACTGTTCGTAACTTTTTGGGGATAACATGGGCTAACTTTTCGTAACTTTTTGCGGATAACGGAAGGGCTATATGTCTGTAAAAGATTAACTTCCGGGCTTGGAGTTTTAAGGGGTAAGGCCCTCACAGCCCGAGATGTTTGGACTTTGAGTCTTTTGGGAAAAGCCGTTCTAGGGGTACCTTCCAACCATGCCTTCCAGGAATTCTTCTTTCTAGAAACCTTCAGAAACCCAGGGGAAACGGATGGTTACTGAAAAGAACGATGGTTGAAAATAATGGGGAATGAACCCCTAGAATTTTAGCGACAAACTTGTTTTCTGGCCAAGCCCAAACAATCTATCTTCATAAAACCAAGTCTTCGCCCCCGATCTAAACACATATTGTTCTATGGTTACTGAAGTTTTGCTAAAACGACAACTTAGGCCTGTACGGGGGTGGGCATGATGCATGACCAACTTGGCCAAACAGCCCCCCACCAAAATCGCAACGTGGACACAATTCAAAGTAGGGTTAACTTCACGCTCAAAAACAGTTCGCTGCAGCCCCTGTAACACTTGTTTGAAGCGGACGAAATTTGAAATCTACATTTAAAGGGGATGGGGGTGGCAAACAGTGTCACAGAAATGTTGCTGTCCGCTTGCCCCTCAGTTTTGGTTTCCATCACTTGGCAACCAGGTATTTTTGCCTCTATGTTCCCTGGTGGTAGCCGTGTTGCTTGGTGGTAGCTGGAAGGCTGGGTTACCTTGCAAACGGCCCAATGACTTGATTGGGTTTGTCAATGCAAGAACCGTTCTGTTAGACAAGCTTCCTGTTGATGATTCGGATTCTCCTCCAATAGGTTTTTTCTCTCATACTTGCCGGTAGGCAAAATATGAAGCAGGATCAAAGATAAGAAATTCCTTGTACCCCAGACGTGGGTCAAGCATTGATTTCGGGATGAGGGCCGTGTTTTTCTTCGCGCCATGAGCCAAGAACAGTCTCGCCGTTCACTCGGCATGCACTCTTGTAGCACGTTTTGGGCTCTTAGATTTGCAGCGAAGCAACCCCCAAACTACTTGGTACATTACACGGCTCATAGACGACCGTTCTAACGATTTTGCAGTCACCAGGAAACGTCAATGCCAACATGCAAGCCGCAATTACATGGTGATTGCAATGAAGAAGAACAAATAGGCCCGGTTTGAAGACAATGAGGCACAAAAAAGTAGCCCGAAAAACTACTTCGTTTTGGACCGAACACCTCGCAAGAACGAGGATGCCAAGTGTTTTCGCGTCAGCAGCATCGTCGAGTCCAGATCAGCTCACCTTTGGGCAAGCTCTTTCTGCAAGTGAAGGACGCGTGGGCTCGGTCGAGTTGACCACAGCCATGAAAGAACTCAACTTCTGCCCGAGCAAGCACGATGAGAGCTTCTTCTGCCCGCGTAGTAGATCCTTTCATGGTCGTGGAAGCTGTTTTGAGGCGGCTAGCTTCAATCACCTGGTAGCACCAATCCTTGAATCCTGGCCAGTCACTTGGAGTGGTGAGGTAGGGGCCCTTGCGGAGGGTCTCGGGCGTGAACTAACACTGGAAGCTGACCGCACCCGAGCTGGGCTGCAAGAGTGGCTCCTACAGCACTATGTGAAAACTGAGCATTTGGGAAAGAAGCGGCCGATGATGATGAAGAGGACGCACCTGGATGTCCGATGCGAACAGGACTGGTCAAGTCCACAGGCTCGAAAAGCTGCAAGCTCAAAGCATCAGATCTCACTGAGTGAGCCGACGGCGGAGATTCTAGGGTCTGACTCGTTCTGGCCTTCGCCGCTTACATGGAGGGTAGACGGATGTGCTATGGAATTAGCTAATGTTCGAGAGTGGCAATGGCAGCGACACAACATAGACTAGAAGGGTCCCCATCATGCAGACTGAGTAGTCAATGCGTGTGTGTGTGTGTGCGCGCACGCGCGCCAAGGGCCCCGGCGCGGTCTCCACCTGTGTGCACAGGGCTGTGTGTTTGTGCGCGCAAATGCATGTGACCCGAACGGTAACATCCCCCCCCCCAAAAAAAAAACACAAAAAACACAAAAAACACGAAACACCCCCCCCCCCCCCCGACCCTGGAAAAGGCCACGGCCGTCCGTCAGCCATGTTCCAACTACTTGGTATAGATGGTCCGGGACTTAGCCAAGTGCTCAGTAGCTGTAGCTGACCATGGCTAAGTCTCAGACCGCCGAAGTACCAGCTTCCGTTTGCTGAAAGGAATATGTCCTTTCTTTTCCCCTGTTGGTTTCAAAGGGAATCTATCACTACATGAAATATGTGTTTTTTCCAGGGGTCTTAACCAAATGGAAGCCAGTAGTGGCCAGGAGATTCTGCGCAACTATGACAAGTCCTACAACTATCACCTCACTCGGCGGGATCCATCGACCCATCGAGGGGATGAATGCCTTTCAGCCATATGTGTCTCAGTCCCGCTTCTTAAATTTATTTTCTGTTGACCATTCATACGGGGTCAACATTCTTGGCGGAAGGATGCATCAGTCGGCCACAGGTGGTTTCATGGCAAAACCTTGTTCATTCACGTTGGTACCGCACCAGTTGGTAGGTGTTTTGTCCAAAAAAACCGTGTTTCATCCATCCCGAACTGGTGCAGGATTTTGTACATCCGCAGGGTTGAACGTATCGGTTTCGGGGGCGGTCGCTTGGGTTTGGCGGCGAATCCCTAGGGGGCGATCAGATGCTCAGATCCTCCGATTGCCGGCCAGGACCCCAGAGACGGATGTGTTTTTTGTTCGGAAGCCGATGTTTGTTTTTCCTTTTTCTTTTTGTTGTTTGTTGTCGGCAACCGGGAAACCATACCAAAAAAGAGGTTCAGGGGTAAGAGAAGCACGCAAGCCGTTTGGATGCGTCGTTTGCAGTGGAACGGTGGTTTCCCATTCACCGCAAGAGCCAGGGGTGCAAATCAAACAATCCATGAACCCCACCAGTTTGCAAGGTAATGTTGACCCCGAATGAATACACCCGCCCTATTCATGTTGGGAGTCTTGTTCTCTTTTCTTTTTCGAAAGCCCCATCTACCCCCGATCGGAATCAACCAGAACGCTGGGGGTTGGCTCCGCTCGGCTTGCTATCGTTCATGGCCTGTTGGTTTCCCAAGTTTGCTTGAAATTTTGTGAAGGTCCCAAAAGATTAACTTGTTACTTCCAAGTCCTTTGGGCAAGTCAGTTTGGTGTTCCCATTTTGGTCCTGTCATATTCAGGGCCCCAAGAGGCTAACATTCTACGATCGGGTCCTTTGCGCAAGTCAGTCAATTCCCTTTTGTAGGTGTTGTGTTCAGCCTTTAGGCTCTGTTGCTTTGTTCATGTTTACCGCGCGGCTGCAAACAAGCAACGGTTTGTGTGGCTCAAACATGCCAAGGGCTTGCATGTCCAAAACTCAGCTGTCAACTTGTTTGCTCTCACAACCACAGTCGCTGTTCAAGAGCCACGTGAAAACGTTGTCAGTTGCGTCGGCTTTCGTGCAGGACCCTTCCCAACCCTCAATTTGCTTAATAATATTTCTTATTTCCCCCTATTGGTTTTAACGGGAATCTATCACCACTGGATTTTTTATACCAAATGGAGGTTTCCCAACTGTTCCAAACAGATGAGTTCTTCCTTCCCGCTTGAAAGGTGCAAGCGGCTGCTGTCCCATAAGAAGATGATGTGCAAGGAGCCCCTTCAAAGAGGGAAGCACTGGTTTCAACCGGGGTTTAGTTGTCTTGGTAGCAACCCAGCCATCCGGTTCCTTAGCTTTTGAGCCTTTTAGTGGTTTAGTGGTAGTTTCCATTGAACCCACTACAAGTTCCTCACTTTTCGCGGGGGATCTGTTGGCAGGCCAGTTGTGCAACCGCTGTCGTGCAGCATCCCAACCTAAGGGGCATGTACTGCTCCAATGTCCTTGCGCAAGTTGTATTATTACAAAACCACCTTTCATCAACTCCAGGATTTCCTGATGGCGACGGAGAGGGAAGACCCCTGGATTTCCCAACATCATCATACTAACCCACAATCAAGACAAGCAGAACTGCTTCCATTCAAGAAAAATAGTGCATGTGTGCTTGTTTACCCCCACCAGTGCACTAACCCACATGGGACGTGCACAAAAAATGTTTCCATAGAGATATATAGAGATGAAGGTATGAAGGTGGTCTTCCAACAGGAGCCATATTTTTTTGAAGGAGCCCACAAAACACCGAGCATTTTGGGCGTCCGATTTTGAGCCCCTACATCCGAGGTGAACTGCTCGGATGCGGCGACAATCGCGCGGCAGGTGGTGCGCGCGGCGCAGGGCTTCGAGGCCCAGGCGCCCGAGGACGGGGTGTGGATGGTGTGGGGGGTA